GGAAAGAGATAGAGAGATAGAAACACTGATGGAGAAACATTGGTCAGCTGCCTCCTGCACGCCCCCTACTGGAGATCAAGCCTGCAACCTGGGCATGTGTCCTGACCAGGAATCAAACCAGTGACCTCTTGGTTCATGGGTCAGTGCTCAACCACTGAGCCACACTGGCCGGGCTATTATCCCCATTTTAAAGATGATGGAACTGAGCTTAGGAGGGTGCTTCTTACTTATTCAAGGCCACACACTAAGTGATAGGTATTTATTTTTTAAAGAATATTTCTTTTTTTAATATATTTTTATTGATTTCAGAGAGGAAGGGAGAGGGAGAGAGAGATGGAAACATCAATGATGAGAGAGAATCATTGATCAGCTGCCTCCTGCATGTCCCCCACCTGGGGATCAAGCCCGCAACCTGGGCAAGTGCCCTTGATCGTAATCAAACTAGCGACCCCGGAGTGAATGGGACAACACTCCACAATATTTCTTTTTTTAATATATTTTTATTGATTTCAGAGAGGAAGGGAGAGGGAGAGAGAGATGGAAACATCAATGATGAGAGAGAATCATTGATCAGCTGCCTCCTGCATGTCCCCCACCTGGGGATCAAGCCCGCAACCTGGGCAAGTGCCCTTGATCGTAATCAAACCCGGGACCCCTCAGTCTACATGCTGACATTCTATCCACTGAGCCAAACCATAAGTGGGCATTTACATCCAACTCTCTTGAACGGCAGAGTCCTTATTCTTTCGACATCTTGTTTGCCTCTTTGAAAAAAGAACAACCCTGGCTGGGTAGCTCAGTTGTTTAAAGCATCCTCATGATATGCCAAGGTTGTTAGTTCCATCCCCAGTTAGGCCACATACAAGAATCAACCAGTGAATACATAAATAAGTGGAACAACAAATCGACGTCTCTCTCATTCTCTCAAATTTAAAAAAAAAAAAAAAGAATGATGAAAGGAAAACAAGAAAAAACGAGTGGAACAACAAATCAACGTCTCTCTCTTTCTCTCAAATTAAAAAACAAAAAAATGATGAAAGCCATGAAAGGAAAACAAGAAAAAAAGGACTGTGATAATCAAGGAGAAAGAGCTTCATTCACTAAGGAAGATATATCCAATGGGTTGAATACAACAGAGAGATTAAGTACGGGGAGAAGCAAAAAAAGGGTCCCAGCAGGAAAAGTGTTGGTGAGTTAGAGCACTGTCCTATGGCAGGAAAAATTAAATTGCAGTAGCCCGTCTGAGGATGAAGAGGAGACTTTCCTTGGGAAGCTCGGGAGTAAAGGGAAAAGAGCAATGGCAAGAGAAGACAGAGGGGAAGGACAGGCGTCTCAACCTGGGTGAGCTTGAGGATGTTCAGTGCTAAAGGGCAGGAACCAGTAAAGGTTGAGGACGTAGAAAAGCGGGGTTGTCTAATTAGGTGAGGTTCCTCGGGGAAAGAAGATTTAGGATCTTCTCACTCTCCCTGGCCTGTGCCCGCCTTCCCCCCAGCCCAGGTAGCCAGCTTGCTCCTGCATCCCTAGCAGGTGGCCAGCCAGCCTCGACTGAACGCCTCTTGAGCTGGAGGGTTCAGTGGCAACCTCAGCAGATTCTCAGTCAATTCTTGGCTGCCCAGCCCTGCCCTCCTCTCAAGGGCCAAGGCCCAGTGACTGCCCACTGCCCTCACTCTCCCCACTCAGCCAGGCTGCCTAGCTATTTGGAAGGCTGCTTTTCATTCCTCCCAGATGGACAAGATGTAAAGAGTAACCGCCTTGTCCTTTTTGTCCTGCCAGTCGATCATCGGAGTCACACACCCCAGCATCGTGGACTGCGTGCTGAACGTGCTGCGCTCGATGCACCTGGAAGTCCAGTATGAAGGTAGGGGAGGCGGCCAGGTCAGCCCCACGTCACAGAAGGTGGCAGTGAGAGCTGGGCACATTCGCTCTTAAAAGTTCTCTCCTATTCACAAGAGCCTTGTCGAGTGTTCTGGAGAGCCTCGGCCGACGGATGTTGATTCAGGATGGATGGGCAAGTTATTCAGAAAATGACAGTCACCTTCTGTACTTCGAATCGGCCACATGGTGCTTTCACAGTTGTGTAGAATTTGCCGGGGTCCAGAGCTGGCTCTGGTTCCCAGTCTTAAGTGGCGCTTCCCCTCTAAACAGAGATCACCCTGCACACTGTCCTTCTTCTAGGAAACGACGCTAGATAATGGTCGTCTTAGTGAGTCTTCATTTCCCGAGTGCCCCTGTGTGCCAGCCACCTTCCATGCGTCATTTAACCTAACTCTCAAAATAACCACAGAATGCAGGGCCAAGCACGTACTAGGTGTCTGAATATTCAGATGGATGAATGGTGGGGGCAGGTATTTTACGTTTTTCAGGCTAAAGCACTGAAGCACGGAGAGATTATGTTCTCCGAGGTTAGCCAGCTAACCAGATTCAAACCAGACCTGTCTGACTCCAAAGCATGTGCTTTTAGCTGTAGCACATGGCAGGTGTCTGCAGGATGTTACTCCCTTCCCTGTTCCTATAGTGATTCAGAGAAGGGAGATTCTGTTTTCAAAAGGAGGGTACAAGAGCAAGTGGTGTTTGAGGTGAGTCTTCGAGCACGGAAAGGATTTAGGAAAGTACAGTGGGGCCTTGACTTACGCGTTTAATTCGTTCCAAGACCGAGCTCTTTAAGGAGCTCCTTAACTCAAATTACTCTGTCAACTCAATGCAGAAAATCGGCCGAGAGACAGCTGGTATCTCAAAAAACTCGTTAGTCGAGACACTCGTAAGTCAAGGCCCCATTATAGACAGAAGCAGAGGAGGGCATTCCGGAAAAGGGAATGGTACACATGAAGGCCTAGACATTGGGAAAAGCAGGCGTATGTGGGGGTGACAGGTAGACCATTTGGTGGAGGTGTGGTAGAGGTCTTGGTCTAGGAAGACCTAGGAAGGTAGGCTGGGACCAGATTACAGAGCACCTGAGTGCCAGATGGAGGAGTGGGCACTCTCTCCAGTAGGCAGCATGGAGCCATTGAAAAGTGGACCATGAGCAGGTGAACGGCAAGGGAAAGCACTGTGTCAGGAAGAAGGCCTGGGTGTGGTCTGCCAGGTGGCCAGAGCCACAGGGAGACTTGAGGCTGGAGGCCAGTTGGGAAGCCTTTGGATTGTCCATACAACAAAATGGGAACGTACTGATCTAGCTGAATACCGGAACCCAGAAAGAGAGAGAACGAACAAGACAGAACTGCCTGGGTGTGGAGAATGAGGTGGCATAAGCAAGGGGGCATGGGCAGGGCCGAGGAGGCCAGGACAGCGAGGAAAGTTCTGGGCATCGTGCATATCGGGACTCCTGTGTCCAGAATGACAGGCTGAGCCCCAGGTCCTAGGCATCTGGGGAGGGCAGAGTAGCAGGCAGGTTCTCAGGTTCAGGCGTGCAAGTGAGAGTCTCAGAAAGATCAGCAAAGGTCTGAAGGCTTACGTTCAATATCAATCATTTTTTGGAGCCAATGTGGAAAGCATGTCAAGTGTGTTTTTCCTTCAGCGGCACTGTCAGTTTTATACTTGTTTGACCCCTGCAGGGATGTGTGGGTACGTGGGCCTTGTGTGTTGAGAAATAATGCTGTGTTGAAATTGATTTCCAGCTGGAGCATTCCCCTAGCTGGGGAGCAGTTGCCAGTTGAGGGGGTGGAGTGGTAGAGGCACCTAAGTAAAGGTCGGAAGGTGGTCGCTGGCATCGGACAGGGAGTGACCTGGCAGCTTAATGTTAAGAAGCTTAATCAAACAACCCTGAGGAGACCAAAGTGGGTGACAGCGAGACCTCCCTTCCCCAACCCACTTCCCCATGGCAGTGTGACCACTCCCACTCAGCCATCACTTCGCAGCTTAAGCATTTCCGCTCTGAGGTCTTCCCCGACCTGCCTTCAGCCCCTGCCCAAATGCAGCCCTCCTTCCTTAGTACCACCCTTAGCCCTCCGCCCTCTAGAACCTCCCTCCATCAGTGCAGTTATCTCCAGAATGGTAACTGCCCTTTACATAGCCTGCACAATTTCAGTGTAACTGTCATCCTTTTTGTCCTCATGTCCTCCCCGTAGTCCCCAGCATACGTTAGGTCTTCCGTCCACTTTTTTTAAAATATATTTTATTGATTTTTTACAGAGAGGAAGGGAGAGCGATAGAGAGTTAGAAACATTGATGAGAAACATCGATCAGCTGCCTCCTGCACACCCCCTACTGGGGATGTGCCCGCAACCAAGGTACATGCCCTTGACTGGAATCTAACCTGGGACCCTTCAGTCTGCAGGCTGACGCTCTATCCACCGAGCCAAACCGGCTAGGGCTTCCGTCCACTATTGTTGAAGGAATGAGGGCAGGGGGTGGGAGTGCTGCGCATGCACACCTTTAGTGACCACTTGCCTATGTGCCTTTCGCTCCCAGACCCGTGAGAAACCTCAGGCAGGGGCTGAGCCTGACTCATCTCCTTTTCCAGCGGGGAGCCTAGGACATAATGGGTACTCAGTAGAAGTTTGTTGAATTAATTTATGAAAAGTGGCTTAGCTTAATTTATGCTGATGAAGCCCTCCTGAGTTGGAACTGGCTTGGCTTCTTCCCATATCGGGCCCAGGTTAGAGTCCCTCTGCATTTATTTCATGACAAGGACCGCTGTGGCAGGCAGAGCGTGAAGCTTTATCACTGCCTTTTTTATTTGATGTGTGCGCATGTGGGCACAGTGAAACTCTGTACCTCAAAATAATTTCAGAAATGCCCAACTCATAGCACGTGCCCAAGAAATGTCTGCTGAATAAATGAATTATTCTTTTTCTCCAGGCCCTTCAAAATAGTCTTCCTGTCACTCGGAATATAGAGCATGCAGATGGAATGATTGTCCACTAGAGGGAGCAGTTTCACACGGTCGAAGCCGTGGAGGTTGAGGAGAGAATACTGTATCCCGCCCCTCACACCCCTCCAAAGGCAGGACAGGGGAGCTCGGACTGGTCTGAGCTGTGGTTCTAACAGTGGTGAGCGGAGAGGGCCAGACATGACTCTCTCTTGAGTGTGAAGATGCCAAATTGCAAGACCCAGACGAAGCTTCCCTTTACCCGAGGGTGATGGCAACAGTCAGGACAGAGAAGCCCGCTCGGCTGGCATAGCTGAATGGACTGACCGTAAAGGGCAGGGTTAGTTAGTGTGTGTGTGTGTTTGTTTGCCCTCAAAGACACTATTTCATCAAAGTCAGGCAGGATGATCTGTTGAGAGGTCAGTGGTCAGCGTCGAGCATGAATCGCACACACTTCCACAGTGAGCTGCCAGCGATGGCCTGGCTAGTCTCGCGTTTCGGGGCGTTTCCCCGGCTGAGCTCACAGAGCCCCGGAACCAGCCTCCAGACTGTCTTTAGCTGCTAGCTTGTTTTCTAAAAACAAACATTGATTGAACAAGTGTGCTGTGCCAAGTACTATGCCAAGTACTGGAGTTCTGAGTTTTCTTTGTCCTGAGGAGAAAAAGGAATGGTTTGGGAGGAGAGAAGGGAGGATGTGCCCTCTACCTCCCACGCTGTGTGTGCGCGGAAGTGGGGGTGATATCCTTCCCCTGGGAAGGCCACAGGGAGAGCTGGACTCTGAGGCAGAACCTGTGAAAACAGGACCAGAAGGGCTGAGGGGCTGGTGACTCCTTCCAGAGCCGTGTGTCAGCGGTGGAGGAGCCAGACCACGGCCCCACCTCCTTCTCTGTTGAGAACCCCACCTTCCCGCCTCCAAACCTGCCAGCCTGCCTGACCCGCATTCTCTGCTCTTTCCCATGACATGGCAGTGTCCCTGTTCCATCACCTCTTCTTCTGCTTGGTCTCTCAGACTTCTCTCCGCAGTCCCCCCTCCGTTCCTTCTGGAGCTCCATCTCCACTGACATGCAGATGTGCTCTGTATCTCCCGTTTTAACAAGTCTCCTTGGTAATCTGTGGATTAAAAGAGATTTCAAAGACATGTCCTCCAGAAAAAGGTAAAATTCAATCAGTGTTTGAGGATGCATACCCCTCCTTGACCCCAAGTTCCCAGCTACTCATTTTCCGGTTTTCTTCCTGCTCGATCTCTTACTTCTGACCCATTGGTCAATAGCAACTCACTCTCTTCTCTTGGCTTCTGTAATACCACGTCCAGATCTCCTCCCGCCTGCTGGTTTTGCCATTTTTGCTAGTTTCTCCTTCTTCTCTACCAGATTGTTGGGTCAGCGTACTTCAGCTGGGTTTCCTAAAATTACCTTTCCCTCACACCTGTCCCAGTGCCCCTGGAGGAGGGTGGTTAGGGAGCTCTGTGTTACAGGTTCTGAAACACCCTGCCCTTTCAGATTCTTAAAAAAGCTTGGAGGAACCCTGGCCAGTATTCTCAGTGGTTAGAGTCTCGTCCTATGCACTGAAGGGTTGCAGGTTCGATTCCTGGTCAAGGGCACGTCCCTGGGTTGCAGGTTTGATCCCCAGCCCCAGTCAGGGCACATGCGGGAGGCAACCAATCACTGTTTCTCACGCCGATGTCTCTCTCTCTCTCTCCCTCTCTCCCCCTTCCTTCTACTCTCTCTAAAAATCAATGGGTGAGTCTCTCTCATCATTGATGTTTCTATCTCTCTCTTCTCCCTTCCCCTCTGAAATCAACGCAAATATTTTTTTTAAATCAATAGAAAAATATCCTCAGGTGAGGAATAACAAAACAAAAAAATTTTTAATTAAAAAAAAAGAGTGGACAAGGAAACCTGTGCACCAGGCAGTGGCTTTCTCATCCCCACGGCAAGAGATTCTGTCTGTCCATTCTTGTCTGACCTTCACTCTGAAGGAGAAATAACCAGGGAGAAAGTACTGACGTCTTCATCCACTGATTCCAGAGGAGTTTTTTGTTTTCAGATACT